CCAGAAGGCCTAACTTCCAACTCTTGCCCTCCCATTCCTTCACAGGGCTGGACTCAGTGGAGTTTGGGATTCACCCTTGCAATCTCCCAATTCCTTGCCTTGTCCTGCACATATATTGAGTTGTGCTGGGGACAACCTAAAAGTGTATGGGAAAAGAATGATGTCACTATGGTGACCTCCCCCTACTTCTCAAGCACATAGCTATTCCTTCCTTCCTTTTTTGTGGCACTGGGGTTTGAACTCAGGGCTTCATGTTTGCAAAGCAGCGCTCTGCTGCTTGAACCACTCCTCCAGCCCATTTTGCTCTTGTTATTTTGGAGATGGGGCCTCCTAAACTATTTGTCTGGGGTTGGCCTCAAACCTGATCTCTGCCTGCCAAGTAGCTGAGATTACAGGTGTGAGCCACCAGTACCTGGCAATTCCTATTTCTGAGCATATTTCCTATGCCTGGCAGGTCACCCAAGGTTGGCTTTCTTTGTTTTTGTTTTTTGGCAGTAACTGGGGTTTGAACTCAGGGCTTCACACTTGCTATAGGCAGGTGTTCTACCACTTGAGCCATGCTTCCAGCCCCCAAAGTTGGTTTTGACCTCAGAAGTGCTTTCATCCTGCACTTGGCTGGTAGGAAAAAAAAAACAAAACACAATTATAAAGCAGAAAACTAGTGTCCCCCATCGAGGATGTTGACAGTAGAATCAGGGACAAAGAAAGTGAACCTGTGAGTGAGGAGGGAATTGAATTCTTAGGCAAGAACTGTAGGAGAAGCCAGGTGTGGTGATACAAACTTTTAATCCCAGCATTCAGGAGGCAGAGGAGGAGGATTGTAAATTCAAGGCCAGCCTAGACTACAGAGTGAGGTCATGTCTGAGAACTCTTAAAAAACAATGAAAACAAAAACATAAAAAACTGTAAGCTACTGCCCAGGTGACTGACCCGGGTCATAGAGAGGATGGGTTGTTCACTCAGTTCTTTTAAATGGCCACTTGTGTGCTGCAATTAATTTCTGGCACTCATCATCCAGAGTGTGTGTGTACACCCCACAAGTTAAATGGACTAGTCCCCAACAAGCTTGTTTCTACAGAAGTCAGCTGGTAAGTTTAGGGGTCCCTGGACCATCCACACTTTCAACTGACTGGCTACAAATTCAGGGGCTGTACAATTTTCTTCAGATTAAAAAATTCACTAGGGGCTGGGGGGTGTGGCTCAGTGGTAGAATGATAGCTAAGCCCTGGATTTGAGTCCTAGCAACATACAGAAGGCAGAGAGGGAGGGAGAGAGAAGGGAGAGGGAGGGAGAGAAGGAGAGAAGGAGGAGAGAAGAGGAAGGGAAGGAGGAAGGAGGGAGAAGAAAGAAGCATTTACTAGAATTCAGGAAAGTGCTATTCTTATGATTACTCTTTTATTTACAGAGGACATAAATTGGCATGTCCAGCCAAATGTCACAGAGAGTGAAGTCTGGAAGACTCTTGAATGCAGAGCTGTAATAGTTTCTCTCCAGGGAATCAGGTTGTCACCCTCCTAACACCTGACATGCTCACCAATCAGGAAGCTCCACTGAGTTCTGTGACCAGAATTTTGATCAGGATTCCATCACACAGACACAGTGGACCACCTCATTGGTAGAGACTGAGTTCCATTTCCTCTCCCTGGCCTCACATGGCTCAAAGTTTCGGCCTTTAATCACATGGCCTTTCTGGCCCAGCTAACTTCTAGACTGAAACTAGTTAGGGGCCACCTGTTATGAGTCACCTCCTTAGCATAGTCTACCAGAAAAATCATTCCTAATATTTGAGAAATTTCAAGGGTTTAGTCTCGCTCTTAGGCACCAAAGACAAGGGCCAATCAAATTCCTTACTCTACAACATTCAGAGTTGCCAGGTTCCTCCAGACTGGCTTCTCAAGCTCTCACTGCTTCCCAACTCTAAATTTTATTTTGACAAACCTTAAAACTTTCATCTAGATTCATCAGTTTTGTCACATTGGCTTTCTCTCATCATGACACTTCACCCCCAAGTACTTTAGAACACATCTTCCAGAAGCAAGGCCATTCTCCCACATAGCCACATCACAGTGATTGCACTTGACAAGTTTAACACTGATACAATACAATCATCTAATATGCTGTGCTTATTTAAATTCCCCACAGGGTGCAATGCTCTTCAAAGCCCCTTTCACCCGATCTTGGGTCCAGTCTGGGATCATGCAATGAACTTATTCTGTCTCCTCTAATTTGGGATAGCCAGAATAGCTTCTCAGCCTTTTCTCTTTTTTTTTTTCCTGCAGTACTGGGGCTTGAACTCAGAGCCTATACCTTGAGTCACTCCATCAGCCCTTTTTTGTATTGGTTATTTTTTGAGATAGGGTCTCATGAGCTATTTGCCCCGGCTGGCTTTGAACTGTGATCATCCTGATCTCCACCTCCTGAGTTGCTAGGAGTACAGGTGTGAGCCATTGGCCGCCAACTCTCTTTTTTGTCTTTTATGATCATGACATTTATCAAGTGCTCAGGTGAATCATTTTGTAGAGTATTTCTCACTTTGGTGTGTATATTTCTCCAAGATTAAGTTCAGGGTATTTTTAATTGTCATGTTTCTTTGGTCAGTGGTTCTGAGGCCTGGTTGTGCAAAGACCCTTTGGTTCTTGGGCCCCCAACCCATCCACAAATCAAACAGGTCTGGGTTGGAGAGCTGCTTTCCCATGTGTCCATGCTGAACTGCTGAGTTTTCTTTCTGGTCCAGAATGTTTAAATGTCTACAAAAAGCACCTTTCCTTCCCACGTCTTTTCAGAGCCTGTTCCATACAGTGCAGAATTTCTTACCCACCAGTTTGTCACCCAGCATATTTCACAGGTTCTGCCACCATGGCCCCACTGACCAACCTACCATGAACCAGCTCTCTCAAGTAGAAGTCCAGATGATCTTTTACTGAAATAGTTCTTTTGTACTTCTTAACTAGCTGGGCATGTCCATTGTTGTTGTCATCTATGATGTCATAAGGGTGATGGCCATTGACATTGCAGCCCACAGACTGTGTAGTGCTCAAGATCTTTTTAATGGTTTCAGAAAGTTCTCTGGCTAAAGATCTGTCCGGCTATGTTGACAATCTTATCAAAGGTGGTATTTCCATGGTATTTAATGTCTTCTGTTTCTTTCTGTCTCTTGGTGGTTCCTTGAAGGCTTTGATGACCAGGGAAGAGGCCAGAACACACTACCTCGATCTGGGCATGTGTGTTCTGAAAGGCCAATTTTACCATAATCCTCAAACCCTTTCAGTAACTGGTTGCCTTGGTGATGTCATCACCAACCTTTTTTGGAGATAGACCCAAGGGGCCGGGGCAGCTCAGGCTAGCTTTGGTAACTTTAAAAACCTAAAAAATTAGAGTTAGGGGTGTAGCTCAGTTGTACAGCACATGAATGGGAGAATCCCTGGGTTAGAGCCCCAAACAACATCAACAACAAACGAAACGTAAACCTCAGGGTGGTAGCTTGTGCCTTTGATGCCAGTCCTGGGGAGACAGGAGGAGGATGATCGCGAGTGCAGCCTGGGATACATAGTAAGACCATCTTAAAAAAAAAAAATCAAAATAAAACCTTAAAACTATTGCCATTGGCTTTTCCATGTAGCCAGACCGCCTTTCCTCATTCCCTTTGGGAGCATCAGCAATAGGGGGCGGGAAGAAGGGGGGTGCAGGAGATGGGAGGAGGACGGTGGAGCTGGTAGACTCATCCCCAGGCCACGCGTCTTTGCGAGGCCTGTACGTGCGCACGTCTACGTGTGCGTGAACGCAGGTATGTGCGCGGTGCCTAAGCGTGAATGATTGCAAACGTACCCTTCTGCAGCAGCGCGTCCACGTGCACCTTCTATTCTGTGCAAGCCTTCAATTTTTAGGGCTCACATTCTTTTTTCCTTTGAAACAAATTTCACGTTGAGGGCCCACAATTGGGGAAAACTGCGCGTGAAGAGCTTCTGCGCGAGCGGGCAACTACCCCGGCCCGGGCTGCTTGGTACGGCCCGCAACCTCCCCTCCATCTTCTCCCATGATGGTTGCACCCACCCCGCGGAAGAGCTGGTTTCCGGGTGTTCCCGCCAGGCTTTGCGGCCCGACATGGCTCAGCCCCGCGCGCAGAGCAGCTCCGGCGGAACGCCTGCTCCCGCCGAGTCAGCCCCAGCCTCGGTGACCCTGGCGCAGCTCGTGCAGCTGGTGCAGCAGGGCCAGGAACTCCCGGGCCTGGAGAAACTCCACATCACGGCGACCCATGGCGAACCCACGGCGTCCCTGCTCCCGCGGAGGCCCAAGCCCTGGGAGGCCGCGGGCTCGGCTGAGGCGCCCCGGGCCCCGGCGACCCTTGGGTAGAGGAACGGCCCCGGAGAAGCCCAGCTCGGCGGAACACAGTCGGTTCCCGAGACGCGAGGTCTTTTGCAGCTGAGACCTGGAGGGGGTGACTGTCCTGCATGAACTCGCGACCCTGAATACTGGCCACTGTCACCCATCTGTGTGCACTGCCCTGACCTATTAATTGGACCCAGTCCTCCTGGGAGCTCCACTGGGGTGGTGGGTGCAGGACTGGTGTTCCTTGATCTCAAGAAAAAAAACCCAGTCTGTCCCAGCTCCTGTGTGCAACTGAAAGCCTTTTACTACTCGTGATGCACCTGTTTTCATTTCCAAATACTACACAAGCCACACACTAATGGGGTCTGATCCACTGTGGGATTATGAGGAATTACGGGATTATGGGTCAGTTTATTCTGATAATGGAAAAGCGAACCTGGAATCCAAATGTCACTTTCATTGTGGACAGGATAGGTAGTTAAGATACGACTTTGAAGCTGGGCGCTGGTGGCTCAGGCCTGTAATCCTAGCTACTTGAGGGGCTGAGATCGGGAGGATTGCGGTTCGAGACCAGCCCTTGCAAATAGTTCACTAGATAGTCTTGTGAAAAAGAGGCTGGCAGAGTGGCTCAAGTGGTACAGCACCTGCCTTGCAAGCATGAGGCCCTGAGTTCAAATCCTAGTGCCACAAAAAAAAAAATGACTTAAATGAAATCCCAAAGCATTCAAAGCAAAAGTTAACCAGCAACAAAACCCTAGAAACTGGCTTTTCGCATCAGCTGGGTCAGGCAAGGGGCTGCAGACGCTCCTATAACCATCTGAAATCAGTTTCCAAACGGGCCATGCAGTTCACTGCACCTACTTTTTTCCTAAAATTAATTCGTTCTCGCTACAAAATCTAGATGACACCTGGTGTGTATGTTGTCATGAAAAAATCTGCATTAGCACATCCTAGTCTACTGAGTATATGTAAATAAGGACAGTCCCTCTTGTTTAGGGTGTGTCGTACATTATATGGAAAAACAAACTTTTAATAATTTATTTATAAAAATTGGAGGTTAAAAACTTATTTTGTCTTAACCATGTAAGGCGGACAGGCTAGAAAGTAACAGCTCCACTTTACAGATCAAGAGTGGCAACAATTTTCCCCTATTTATTTTTTGAGCGATACTGGAGACTGAACTCAGAACTGCACACACTCTTACCACTGAGCTACAGCCCCAGCCCTGCTCCCGTATTTAGTAAGAGATCTTCAATATAAACCCCAAGCTTTCGTAGCTACCAATATTTTTCCATGACTTTGCAATACATCATTTTTATGTAATGATTTCACAATGCTCTACAATATAGCAGAATAAGATCTATAACATCTATTCCTGGCAGGTTAACTCTGGAAGCAAACCAACCTAATTAATTACCTCATAACTGGCACATTTTAAGGCATTGTTACACCTCTAACTCAATCCCATGGCTGTTTTTAAGGGTCCTATGAGCTAAAACTGCAGCAAAGCTAGTCTAAAAGGATCAGGGAGAATAATGGTTAAGCATGTTTTCAGTGTGACCTGGGTATGGCACATCTTCACCAATTGCTCAGATGGCAAGCTGAAGCAACAGAGGGTGAAGGAGGCCATTTAGAGGTGGACACTGATGAAACAAACACCCTGGCCCATGCTTCTGGTTTACTACACCATTACCAGCAGGACAAAGGACGATTCTGGAGTTCAGAACATGCTGAGATGCATGCCTAGGGTCTAAAAAGCCTAATGTCAACCATACCCACGCAAAACCAAGAACTTCTGGGTTTGGAGGAGAGGGCTGATCAGGGAAACCTAGAAACTCTTGAAGCTCAGGGGGGAAAATGGGTGGGCATTTCTCAGGTACAACAGGACATACACAATTGGTTCGGTAAGTTTCAGTCTTGTACAGGACATGGAACCAGAGAAGACCGGCAAGTTCAGGGCTTAGCTGATCAGTGCTAAGGAGCAGACTTTCTCACGTAAGATGTACAGGTCCAAGCACAATTTTGAGTATATGCATGTTCTCCTGCTAAAGGGGTCCTTCCATTCTCAAATTCTGAGCTAGAGAAAAGGACTAAATCAGTTGCAGGTTGGGATACAAATGCCATCAGCAGAGAGACAGGCAGGCCTGAGAGTTCATAAATGCTGACTGAAGCTGGAACATGGACTCAGTACAGAGAACAGAGGCTTGCTTAGTACATTTCAAAACTGTATTCCAAATTTTCAAGGCCCTTGAACTCCTAGATTCAGGCATGCCCCTGGGCTTGGTCTATTGTACAACAGTCTTGGGGACACTGTACATGTGCTTATTTATCCACCAAAATTAAACACCCAAAATTGAAGATGTCAAAGTAGGACAGGTTCCTCAATGACATGTGTTGACTGGAATTTTCCATTGAACTGGGCTGTGACCAGGAGCTTGCCATGATCACAACTTACTGTCTTTCCCCTACCCCTTCCTTCCAATTTCTGAGGGTAGAAAATAATCTTCTCTGAAGATACTTGATAACAGTTCCAAAAGATAAAAGCATATGCTTTTGTACTGTGCTTTCAGATATTCTGATGGGAAAGAAAAAATAAGAAACACATCAGTACTAATCTCTAGCAATTTGACACCTAAACAGTACTAACAGCAGCAAAAAAAAAAAAAAAAGCAACTTCAAAAAGTTAAGAATCACCCAAAGTTCAAACCCCAGTCCCACTAAGAAAAAAAAAAAAAGATTCTTTTAACAAAACAGATGACTTACATCTTCAAATCCTTCTTGAAGTTAGTTTTTAATGTTATTTATTCCTCCTTCATTTCCAGCTAAATGACCACAGCAATACAGAAGTTTTCAGATATCTAGAGCACCGTGTCCTATTAGACGTTTGCCCTTCTGAGCAGGCAGGTCTCTACCCATTAGACTTATAAATACCCAGCCTCACCTAGGTCTAGTTCAGGTGGCGGATGAGCTGATTGATGCGTTCACCCCGATAGCCAGATGAGCCCATCTCCTTAAGGAAGCCCACTCTATTCTTGGTAGCGTGACGGGCCACAGAGAGGTGGAAAGGACGCAAGAATCCGGAGATCTCCTGGAAATGCTTCCCTGGGAAGGCTATTTCATGAATGAGGTCTTCCAGGCAAATGACACCAAACTTCCCTAAGAGACATAAGGGTGCAGTTCCTTCATTCAACATTTATCCAGCGTAAATGAGAAGTTCTCGTATGCCAGAGCTGGGTTTGGCATGCTCTTGGGATCCCAAGAAAAATACACCCTGGATCCCACATCATGCTAGCCAAAGCCTCTTGCTTTTTGCCCCAAATGACCGTTAAGCTGCAGGACTCACCCAGGTGCTCTTCAATCACAGTGTTGTCTGTCAGAGGGATGGTTTTATTCTTAACCTTTGCTTGTCCACGTTTCAAGATGAGTTCTCGGACAGACTTCAGATTTGGAAATCTATGTGATGAAGAATAAAGCGTAAGGCATCATCACACTTGCTACTCAGTACTGCAGCCTGGCTGAGGAGAATGTGCAGAGTTCTCCACTCACCTCTCCCCACCAGGAAATGAACTGCAATTACAGTTCAGCTGGGAAGTGAACCACTTGTGGAAACACACACAAGTGAAGTGGACAAAAAGACTGAAGTAAGTGACAAGTCAGGTGTGGTGGCTCATGCTACTGAGGCAGGAGGATCAAGAGCCAAAGGCCAGCCTGGGTTGCTTAATGAAACTTTGTCTCGATAAACTAAAATCGAATCAAAAACCCTGAGTGGACCTGGTTGTATAGCTTCAAATTTAAATTTATGGAAATAAGTGTTTATCAGCCCAAAACAAAAAACCTCCTAATTCCTAGATAAGTAAGAAAAAACAAACAAAACTCCTCAGGACCAGACTTAAGTCTACTCAAGATGGTGCAAGAGTTGGAAGTAAAACCCAAGCCTTTGCTGGGTTTTTTTTTGTTAGGTAGACACTCGACAGCCGGAGCAACACATCCAGCCCATGTTGAGTTTTAATGTTTTAGGAATGCTACAAGCACTGCCACCAGCTCGGCTTCAGAACTCTCAACATCTCATTCATCTTACTAAGCCCTGGCCTACAGCTGAATAAGCCCCACTACTATACTGTTCAAACTGTGATTATCATCAGTGATCCTCCCTGTCTACTCCACAACATCCAACAAAGCAACACTAGCCTTGGAGAACAGCACCTTGTGCACCCCCACACACATACAAGCTAATGGAAATTAACAAGGAAAAACCTACTCACCCCCAGGTCACATAAGGTTCCAATACACGAAGCATTTTCATGTTTCCGGGAGTGACTCTGACAAAGACACCACTAAACAATTTCTTCAGCCGAAGTCTTGCAATGGTCCTCTTCACCAGTAAACTGACGCCTTCAATCCTGAAACAATTGGCAACAGAGGTCAGACACTCTGCAGTCCATGCATCTAGCAAGCACTCAGAGACACACAACGTGCCTCAAAGAGCTCAGTTTAGGGGGATGCAATTCATGAGCAGATCGTTTTCCAGTGGTATGGAGCCATGCCTAGAGTGCTATGGGAACACAGAGATGGTCCCTGAGTTGTTTTAGTTCCTAGGAAGATGCCTTGAGCCCTCCACTTCAGGATTCTGCATTTAAAACTGGAAAGGTCTGTCAACACCAACAAATTCCAATCGTGTCTTTTGGGTCTCAGGTTCAAGTTTCTGTTTTAGAGAGGGTATCCTCAAACAGCCCCTGCCTCCACCCTGCACTTTACTCTTCTAGCACTTATTTGTCTGTTGTGCTTAACCCTGAGTTCCTAGCACAACTTGCTGTTATGGTCCAGGTCTTTCTATCTCCTTATTTCTCTAGAAAGGGTCTGAAGCTGAGGCTCCAGCCTCCAGGAATCTGAAAAGACACCAGTACTCTACCTTTGGATGCGCACAACAAAGGCCAAGGAATGTTTATCAGGCACTTCCAAAGCACGAGGTTTCACTTCCAGACGTCTGACACGCACCTTATCGCGTTGCTGTCGCCAGGAATCACGTAGGAATGATTCCAGCCGTTTAAACCTGAACTCTTTTCCTTTCCTCTGCAGTAGAGGAGACAGACTATCATCAACACTTTGTGCCCACACTGTTTTACTTCTACAACATAATTCATCAGTCACTAATGAGGTGATTTCCCTTATGCTCTGCAAAGGGAACAAATAAATATACTTTACTTTTTTGTGAAGGAAAAGTCAGAAACCCAAGTAGTAAAGATGGAGTTAAGAAAACTTGGGTTAGGCACTGATGGCTCACGCCTGTAACTCTAGCTACTCAGGAGGCAGAGATGAGGAGGATCTCAGTTCCAAGCCAGCCCGGGAAAATAGTTCAAGAGACCCTATCTTGAAAAAACCCATCACTAAAAAGGGCTGGTGGAATGACTCTAGGTGAAGGCCCTGAGTTCAAGCCCTAGTACCAAAAAAAAAAAACAAGAAAAGAACAAAACTTGAGAATTATGGGGAAGTTTCTGATAAAATATCAGTTTACATGCTTTTACTCAATGTTTACCAATAAGTGTTTTTTGGCTCTAACACTGTGTTAGACACCATAAAGTACAAAACAAGCATTTTTTTTTCCTGTTCCCAAAATACTTCCTTATCTTTTCCAAAGACACTTAGTAAACAGCAAAAATTGTTGAATACTTTCAGACAGGGTCTTGTAGTCCAGATTGGTCTTGAACCAGTCCTGCCTCAGGCTACTGAGTGCTGTGATTACAGGCATGCACCATAATAGCTGGTTACCTTTCAAATACAAACCCAAACGTTTTCTGCCATGTTTGGTCTCTCATCACCCAGTATGAATTCAGAAGATCCCACTTCACTTCTCCCTTAAAACTCTATTCCAGCATTTTGCTTACAGATGTTGGTTCTTTGCTAAATGAAGAAGTGATCCATACACCTAATATATGTAAACAGTGGGGCTCCACGATACCAAATCTAATTCAAATCTAGCGCTAGGTAAACATCACTCAATGCAAGTTCTACCGCCTTCCTCCTGGTTCCCCAGCATTACCTCCTTCTTTTCCAAAAGTGCTTGCTTTGCTTGGGTGGCTTTGAGGGCTTGATAAGCCTTCCTCTTTTTCAGGAGATTTTCTGGAACCAATGGGATCTTTTTTCTTTCCCTGATAGAGAAAATTGAGATCAGAGACAGTATTCAGGAAAGAGACATTCAATGGATTTCCAAACCAATCCAATATTTTGGACTTTGGGCAACACTGCTGTCTTCAAATTCCTCAGTACTGACATTCTCCTGAAACCCTATGGTTTCTGACCCGAGTCTTCAAAATGGATCCCTAATAATTCACTCGTCCCCCAAGCCTTAAAAACTCACGAGCCCCTTGGTCCCTGGGGTCGTGTACGTCACCAGAGCTTTTACTACCACAGCCTTTCATAGACCTCGCAGCGGGGGGATTCTAGGCAAGTGCTCCTCCGCTATACTGCATTCCACCCACGGTGAGGTTCCAGTACAACCTTGTGGGGTTGGGGAGACTTCAGATCACCTACAGTCAATACTGACAGTTAGGCTGGGCAACCCAACGCTGGCCTCTTCAACCACTGTACCCTCGGGACTTCAGTCTGGTTCCACGCAGCGGGAGCGTCAATACTCGCCCCCCCAAGTAACCCAAATTTGACAGCGGCCCTCTCCGCGGACCCCGGCTCCTCACTCTCCGTCTCTACACTCTGTAATCTGGAGCCTTTTATTTTTCTACAGACCACGAGCATGCTTCTTTTTTGCTACCAAAGCATAAATACCATGGATGGCAATAGATATTTAGCGTCCCCCTTCAGATAGTTAAAGACCCAAACACTCACTCTCCCTCCGCCATCTTTCCAGGGCTGTGGAAACTGCGCATGCGCACCATGCTCACCATGCGCACCACCGCCAGCGGAAGAAAGGACCGGCTCTGTTCATTGATCATAGAGACGTCTTCTCTAGCTCACCGCGGATGACCGCAGCAGCCACTGCCCACTTTTTTTTTTTTTTCTTTTTTTGCGGTACTGGGGCTTGAACTTAGGGCCTACACTTTGAGCCACTCCACCAGTTCTTTTTGTATTAGGTATTTTCGAGATAGGGTCTCGCGAACTATTTGTCCGGGATGGCATCGAACCGGGTTTTCCTAAACTCTGCCGAGTAGCTACGTTTATAAGCGTGAGCCACCGGCACATGGCTCACTTAGAGGCTTTGAACTGCTAAGAAGAGGTCTTATTAACATTGATTCCTACAACAAGTTTCACAAGTTATTCTTCGCGCTCCCTCTAAGCTTCTTCGCGCCTATGCCACCTTCAAAATCAAGTCCTTTTCACTGCTCGTCTCACAACGGTGGCAGTCTGGCCGTGGGAAATAGAACGCTTCCCACAATGCACCAGTGGCTTCCGCTGTAACTCCGGCGCCGCACTTCCGGCGCCGCACTTCCGGCTCGCGCCTCGCGGGGTGGTGTTTGCTTTCAGCCAAGAGCTTTGGCTTCCATGTGTGGGTGGAGAGACTCTGTCTACAATTTAGGGGGTAAGAAGGTAGCCCGGATTTCGTCTGTTTGCTCCGGTCAGTGGGTCCCCGTGGAGGACTTGAGCTCTGCACTTCCTTTGTCTTATCCGTCGCATGATGGGCATAACGGACAGCAGCGCTATGTGAGGTTGAGCACAATGTCTGACAGTGAGCAGTCAGCACTGTGTCAGTTGTCATTACCGCTGGATCCGAAACTAGTTCACAACTTTCCCTCATACAGCTCTCACCGCCTGGAATATGCTTCCTTCTCTTCTGTCTAAATAAGATCCTGAAAGACAACTCAAGTACTGTCACCTCGGAAGCCTTGTGTAGGAGTCACTTAAGGATCTTGTTAAAGGCAGATTTTTATTCAGGAGACGGGGAACGGGGATTTATATTGTGTTAAATTATTATTTTTTTTATATCCTGAGGATTTGGGGCTTTTTATTTGTTTTTTTGGCGGTTCTGGGGTTTGAACTCATGGTTTCGGGCTTGCTAGGTAGGTGCTTTACCAGTTGAGCCACGCCTCCACCCCCTTTAACCTGGCTGTGATTATTTTGGAAATAGGGTTTCTCTTTTTGCCCAATCCGGCTTAGATTGGGATCCTCCTATTATGCTTCCAGCCAGTCGCAGGGACGACAGGCGGGCACCATCACACTCATCTTTTTTCTAGTGAGATGGAGATCTCAAAACTGTTGGCTCAGTCTCTCTTCAATCCTTAATTCTCCCCGTGTCAGCCTCCCAAGTAACTAGGATTACATGCTTGAGCCTTGGCGCCCAGCTTTTTTTTTTGCCAGGTTTGGCCTCCAACTCCCTATTCTGCTTCTGCCTCGAGAGTAGCTGGGACATACACTCCCCTTCCTGGTTACATTTGCCTTAATTGTCTTCACAGACCAGTGTTGCTGGTCTAGAGTAGTCTGTTTCCTTTCTCTGAATGTAAAAAGAAAATGGTCCCAGCCAGGTGCAGTGACACGTGTCTGTAATTCCAGCTACTCAGGAGACTTGAGCCTAAACTTGTGAGACATGAGACCTTGTCTCAAAAAAATGAAACAGATTGCCAAATCAGAACAAGCAAAAAAAAAAAAAAAAGTCTGGGGATGCAGATCAGTGGTAGAGAGCATGTGCAAGGCCCTGGTTCCATCCCCAACACTAGGAGAGTTTTCAGATTGCTTCTTTTTTTGGGGGTGGGGGTGGCAGGCACTGGGCTATCCTGCACACTGTGGAATGCTTAGCAGCAACTATTGCTCATTAGCTGCCAGTAGCACTCCTACCCATGTTGGGACAACAAAAAATGTCTTTAGCATTGTCCGATTTCTAGTACAGTGTGTTTATTTATTCAAAGGTCTAGGTCAATGTCATTTGACAGCACCTAAAGGCATCATCTCAGACTTTGTCCTGCACTTTTAGCTTGTTGTTTCCCTAACTAGGTTGAGTGCTCTTTGAGGGCCGGGAACTTGTTTCCTGATGAGAACCCACAGGTGCTTGAGGGTGGATCTGGTTGACTCAAGGCATCATTCTAGAATGTGCTTAAGTAAAGGTCCATCCAGAAGGATAGTGCCATGGACTGAGCTGCTCATAAACTGATGAATAAATGTCAAAGGGTGTCACAGTGTTCACACTATGTGTGACTTCAGGCTCATTCTCACTTTTTCGGCACCTCACCACACATCCTGCTTTGTAAAGAGGCAAAACAGAAGGTTCTCCGAAGAGTAAGACATCCACTCACAGTAAACAAGGAACAAAAATTGATCAACATTCTGTAAATTCCTGCGTGTGCAGATAAGGTTCTGCAATACTGACAATATTGAGGCTGATTTCCAATGTTACTAGCAACACTCCCAGTTGACTGGGCCTTTGGTTGAGATTCGGGGAAAAAAGCTTTCTGATGCCAGCAGATGGTGCTAGGAGAGTACTTTGTCTTTCTCCAGAATGACCCAGAGAAAAAAGATGGAGTCCTTTTCCATCAAAAAATTGTTCACTAACTGAATTCCTGTGTACTGAGCATTGACCATGTGTCCTAGCACTAGGGAAGATACAAGATTTCTTTTTTCCAAAGTGATATTACTAAGTGGTACTGCTATTTACAGCCTTATGAATCTTACTCATTTTAGCCTGTCCTCATAGGCTCTGTTCTTTTTGGCCCCTTCAGTTGTCCCATCATTAGGAAATTGTATGCAGTGAGGTAGGGCTTCAAGCTTGAAATCTCAGTGGCAGAGTTTTTTCATTTTTCACTTGCCAACATGCACTCCTGTTTCCTAACTCCACCCCACTCCTCTTGTGAGCTGGTCTCTCTCCCTTATGGACAATTCTGGAATGGGTGGGGGATATCAAATTCAAATGTTCACCTCCCCAAGATTAAGTTTTAGGGAATCCTTGCAAGATTGTCTTTGGCTCTTTTCACCTCCTAAGTGGGAAAGGGCATAAGACTTCTCTGGGATTTTGAAAACTTTTTTTTTTTTTTTAGTGGTATTGGACTTTGAACTCAGATCTTCCCAGTTGCTAGGCAGGTGCTCAACCGCTTGAGCCACTCTGCTAGCTCTTGGGATTTCTGAATCTTAAGCAAAGTGATGACAGAATAGAAGGTTTGGGGCAAAGCTGTTTTGTTTTTTGGTTTTTTTTTGAGATAGCATCTCACTATGTAGCTCAGGTTGGCCTCAAATTCACAATTCTCCTGCCTCAGACTCCTAAATAGTGCTGGGATTATAGGATGAACCACTGTGCCTGGCTAAATCAAGATTTTTAAGGATTTCTACCTACTAAGATCTCTTGGTGTTTTCTTGTTCTTTCTCAAGCCCGGTGGTTCTTCCTTACACAATCCCTTTATGCTAGTCACCAGGCGAGGGTTCTGTTGCTTACAGCCAACGAATCCTGACTGTAATACTCAGAAGTTATAACCAATACTGAGAATTGCTTATGAAAAGCATGATCCATGGGCTGGAGGCATGGCTAGAGTGGTAGAACACCTGCCTTGCAGCACAAGGCCTTGAGTTCAACTTCTAGTACCTCCAATAAATAAATAAGCAAGCTGGGTATGGTGGCTCCACACCTGTAATCCTAGCTATTCAGGAAGCAAGGATCAGAAGGATTAAAGCCAGCCTCTGGCAAATAGTTCATGAGACCCTATCTTGGAAATATCCAAAACAAACAGAAGTAAACCAAGGCTGGTGGAATGGATCAAGTGGTAGAGTGCCTGCCTAGGAAACGTGGGGCCCTGAGTTCAAACCCCAGTACTACTAAATAAATACATACATAAATAATAGATAATATAAAGCATGATGCAGAATAGGGAGGAAGTTTGGTCCCAGGTTTTTCATTTTTGTCTGGTCATATTTATATGCAATGATTTTGGAATGATATGAGGAAAGTGTTAATGGGGATTATTTTGGGAAAATGGGAATTAGAGCTGGAATGGGAGGAAGACTTACATTTTGTGGTGTGAACTTTATGAAATAAATATTAAATTAAGATAAAGGTCTTTAGGTAGTAAAATTCTTTGGATTTAGAAATCACTAGATTATATATCTATATATTTTTTTTTCTTTTGTGGTGCTGGGGATGCTATGTAAGCGCTCTACCACTGATATATCTTCAGCCCTTTTAGTACTTTTTCTTTTTTTGACAGGGTCTCGCTATGTAGCTGACACTGGTCTGGAACTCTTGATCCTCCTGCCCCAACCTTCTAAGTGCTGGGATCACAGGTGTGGGCCAACATGGCTTTTTTGTGTTTTTATCTTAATTTGTTAAAGACAGGGTCTCACTATGTAGCCCAGGCTGGCTACATACTGATGATTCTCCTGCCTCAGCCTCCCCAGTGTTGGGATTACAGTCAGGTACCACCATGTCCCACTAACTTTCGTTTTCCAGTGCTAGGGTTTCTTACAAAGGCTGTTCACCTGTAGCTAGGCCATTCCTATTCAGAATCCTTTTTTTTTTTTTTTTTTTTTTTTGTGGTGGTTATGCTGGAGACTGAGCCCAGGGCTTCAAACATCCTGGGCAAGTGCTCTACCACCGAGCTACACTCTCGCCCCCGAATCCACTTTGTACCTCAAATGTGCTGCTACCATCTGCGCATGTACACGGAACCATCTTTCTCCATATACTCAGGATGAGAGTTACACAACTGCCTCGTCTTCATTCCTACAGAAAGTACACATTTTTTCCTCAGACATAACACAGGAAACTGTGAAGAGCCAGGGCACAGAAACATAGATTGCAGGTTTCCACAACTGGCGGTCCAGAAGAATTTCAGCACCCCACTTCCTTCTCTCCTGGACTCCAGGCGGTTTCCAAGTGCAATGTATCTATGCCCTTGTTTCCCCTGTGGACTGTGGGCTCCTTGGGAGAAGTCACTCAATTATCCCAATGTCAAGCACAGAGCCTGTCACAGTCAAGTGCTCGAGAAATGGTTGGTGATTAATGTTGTCCCCAGCGCCCTAACTCTGTCCTGGACAGGAAACATGAGGCTGGGGCAGAGCCGGATCCAGCCTCATCCCTCCATGACGGCTCCCTTGGGGCCCTGCCTGAGCAATGCTGTTTCAGTGCCCGTGTATGGAGGTTCCCTTACTTCTCCCCCCAATAATCCACTGGCAGCTTTCTCTGCATCAGGGAGTGCCAAGGCCCCTTTCCTGGACTGTGACCTCACATACACAGGGCTGAGGGCTTCACTGTTCTCACTGACAGTCTCTCCTCTGGGCAGGCCCCAGGGAAAGCAGAGACTCTGATCCTAACCCAGCAGCCAGGGGACCCTTCCCTCTTAAAGCTCCATTCCTGAGTTCCCTGTGCAAGAGGCTTGTGCAGGGGCAAGAGTGTACGTTAGCAATAAGAGAAGCATGACCTGAGGGCAATGCTGCAAATGACATCAGGGACCCATGCACTGTGCATTCATTCTAACTTCTGCCGGTACCATGAGAACAACTTCCTATTTCTATTTATTAGGGCAGAATCTTCATTTCCTACCACTATTAGGGAAGGAAGAAGCAATTAAACCATAAATAGTACAAGTGTAAATTCTAGGCCCCAAAGAAAAATTTGCCCTGGAAATACATTTCATCTTCTGGAAGCTTCCCTAACAAATTGGGTGGAGTTGTATCTCTGAGGGTGGGAGCTCTGTACAAATCATGGGTACCCATCTCTACACTTTGGTTAAATGTGAGAACCCAAAGTGAAACATGTTATTTCTGGAATACATGTTATGTAAGACAATGTTCTTGAATTATCCCTTCTCCTTGTCCCTGCAGAAACAAACTTAAAAAACTTCCTGCAGACTGAGGCTCACTTGCGTGACATTCACATTATCCGTTTCCTCTTCTTTAGCACATCCTTATCCATGTGACAGGAGTAGGGACGGAAGCCCGACATGTGCACAACCAAACTTCCTTGCTGACCAATTTTGTTTAATTTGTCACTGTTTGGAAAAGTTGGTCAATTAAAATCCTGACTCCTCACTGGTAAGGCTACTTTTTTGGTAATGGTAAATATATTCACATAGCATTCTCACTGACCACTTACCCTTTTCTCCTGGGGAAAGTAGCCATTCCTGTTTGCAAAATCAAGACAATCACAGTTGCACATTTTCCCAAATCTTTGGCTGTATTGCAATGGTTGTTTCATTGTGTAATCTCCAACTAACATTTCCTAACCATGGGTTAACAATATAGTTACTGGCTGCTTTCTTTTAACAGTATTTATCCAACATAACAAAATAAACTGCAATTTGTTATACTTTTTTTTTACAAAACATTTTATAAATATTTTTACAAAATGTATACAAAGCAATTTCAAGTGAGACATCCTATACAAATGAAGGTATTTAAGCGAATGAAGCCCACACCACACTGACAGCAAGTGACGCACCCTCCCGAAGTCAAGTCAGTCTGCAAGGCCTCCCTAATCTAACAGAGTCTACTAAACTCTTCAGAGCTAAAACAGTTCTTGTTTGTAATTGCCAGTTTAAAATTTGCTTTATCTTTAGGCAGTACGTAAGGACACAGAAAATCAATTGCGTAATAACAAATTCACACTTTTCCACAACAAACAGGAAAAAAAAAAAGAAAATGATTTTTTTTTTTTGTTACTGAGTACAAGTAGTTCTAAAACTTAACTCTGACTAATGACCTGAACAACTGAATGCTGGCATCTGGGGCTGAGCTCTCTTCCCTTCGCCATGGGCTGGAACCTAATCACAGGAGTAAAATACATTTTGTAATCTTCATTTGTCATTATCTATGGTCCTTCCTCCAGAAAAAGTAAACTTACATACAAGGACACAATTTACATGTTTCATTTTGGTAAGTTAGGCTCTCCATCAGCTGGACAAGTGTTAGGGCTTAAAAACCCTGTAAGATGGCATACAGAAAGGTTAGGGTTGGGGTAGTGGGGCAGGAGAGGGCAGGAAGAGGTGACACATATACATGGGGCTTATCTTGTCTCTTTAGAATTCCACTGATTTGTAGTAATTAATGTAACTCATTAGCAGCCCACGGGAAGGCTACCAGGGACCACTTGAATTAGGAGGTGTGAGCCCGAAGAAAGGAGCCCGTAAAATCCCAGGGTTCAGGACAGGCTCTTAACCCTGCACAAGCAGAAGGTGTCAACCGGAAACACCAACTCGCTTTCTAATGTGTTGTAACTGGAAGAAGGGAGACCTACAACTTGGATATTGGCACAAATCAGGGAAAAATGGCAACCCTAAAATGGCCCAGATTTTCCCGTTTCAATTGGCCGAGGCCTGGGTGGGGAGAGGTACGTTGCTCTCATGAAGACTGGCTGTCTCACAGGGTTTCTTTGTGCGGTGGGTCAGAGAGGCAGGGAGGGTACAGGTCTTCTGTTGCTGTGATTTTTATTTTTTGAGACAGAGTCTCATTATGTAGTCCAGGTTGGCCTGAACTTGCTATGAAGCCCAGGCTGGCCTTGAACTCAAGATCCTCCTGTCTCAGCCTCCCGAGTGCTGGGATTATAGGCGTTTGCCACCACACCTGGCTTGTTGCTGTGTTTTTGAAAAATCAGAAGCTTTTCTTTCCTTTGCAGGCCAGTGTGGAAAAGAGAGGCTCAACATGATGACAATGGGCCGGCCATCCCCATCATGAGGACACGTTAAAGTGGGAACCAGTGGGTGCACCTCTATAGCCAGGGAAACGAGTAGAGTAAGTGAGTGTGTGTGCACATGTGCTAATCAAAATGACCTCTGGATCCCAACAGCTTAGACACATGCAAAGGTGCCATGGGAAGAAGATGGCTTTCCCAGCGATGGCTGCCATGACATTGAGAATGAAGGTAGCAACAGAAATGGGATGACCTGGGGCAGGTATACAGGAAAGGAAAATGGGAACGCTCCCTGAAAAGAAATATAAATAAATAAAGCAAGAGGTCATGTTCACTAGGATGAACTGTGACAGGGCAAATCCTTTGGCTCTCACGTGGGAGTCCTGGGTCTCAGCTCCTTCCTTCAGTGCTGGGCTGGCTGCTTACCTTTGGTTTGTCTGTGTTTTGGTAATGATTGCTGCCAGGGGTCACTGCTGTTCTCAGACAAGAAGCATAATCAAGGCCAAAGTCCCCTTCACGTTTAAACTGAAAAATTATAACATAGTTTTTAAATGAAAGTGCTTTTGATGCTTGGCTATTCCTTGTGGGAGAGGATACACAGAGAGGCTAAACAAAACAGAACCCAGCAACAAACAAAAACATACATTGTATGTTGATTATACCCAATTATAAAATGCAAAACCCTCGTTTTTCTCAACAGTAACATATATACATATTATAATCCTCTTGGCTCTGTCCCAGCCTCCCTGTACGCTGTGCCACTTGACTGGTTTTCATTTTCCTTTATTTAGCCTGGTGACGTTATTTCAAGTCTTGCTGTTATGACTAAGTACAGAGCATTCCCTAGATGAATTCAAATGGATGTGCTGAGCAGGAGGGTTTGCTTCAGGAGCATCAGAAAAGCACTTGGCTGACAGGGAGGGAAGGCCTGCAAATGCCCTGCTGTGTGCTATTGGCTTCTTACACCAGGCAGAGAAGCCAGCAACTTACCTCAGAGAGGGCTGACTGGGGAGAGACTATGTGGTGTTCCCCCAACAAAACAAAAACAAAACTAAACTAACCACTAACTTGGAGTTGCAGTGAGATACTCTTTAAAAAGTAGCTTCTATCAGTCCTGTTTGATTTTCTTTAATAAGTTTGTTCTTTTCAAATGACTTATGATTGTCAAAATTTTACCCAGGGCCAAGTGTACTGGGGTCACATTGAGTGACAGTGTTTTACAAAAATAAAACAAAGAAACAACAAAAGACCATAAGCACTTTCATGACACTTGAAATGCGAAGAGCCTATCAGACTGCTTTCCACCAAGGGTAACTGTACTAAAGGATCTCCCTGTAACCACCACGAGTATTGCTCTTAAACAAACAGGATTAGATGAGAAAGCGGAACCTGTGATGAAAGACCAAGCAGGCTGGAGACAGGAGACCGTTTCCATTTGCTCTTGCCAGGAGAGAATGTAACTTGTCCGGGCTGGGTGTCAGGGTGGGGAAGAACTGCTGCTATTAACACTCTAGGATACTATTTACAGCTGCTTCTAAAATGGAGTCTGTTTCTACAACGCCTTCACTGTGGTCCGGGATGAACTTTTCCAGGCAGTTTTCCTGTGAAGCCATCGGAGAGAAGTTGGGGAAATCTAACTCCACAGAGCCGCTCACAGCGGGGTCACTCTGGGGCTGCCGCCCAGCCTTCTTGAGTTCCAAGATATTCTTAAATGTTGTTTCTAAACTCTTGGTGAGCTGGAGATCTGGCTGGGGCTCGCCAGATCCTTTCATGATGTCTGTGTGTAAAACTTCATTCTTTGGGGAATTCCTCCGAGTTTTGTCCTGGAAGGAATTGTTACATGTCATCTCCAAGTGAGAATCTACCAGGATGCTGGAAAGCTTGCTCTCAGTACCATGATCTGGTCTGGACAAGGTTTTGCGGTGCCCCTCGGGGCCAGGGGAGCACTCGTTAGCCTTCATGGGGTCTCTCCGACTGCCCTTCTCTTCAGATGCACCCCGGTACTGAGCTAAGCCCGCTTTGTCAAATTTCAGTGCTCTGCCGAGGCATTCTGTCTTTTTAGAAATGTTTCCCTCTGCAGAGACCACGATGTGATTAGGCACTGGATGAAATTGGTCATGATTCGTTGGTTCTGCCAGGCCTGGTTTGGCTCGGTCTCTGCTTTGGGCCTTGGCTGCCAGATGTAGAGAGCTGGTTGTTTTACTGCCATGCTGGTCACTCCTGCCAAACTGTGCGTCATGAGCCGCTGAGTCAAGCTTCAGGGAACAGCAGAAATCGGCCTTTTGAAAGCCCTCTGGAAATGGAAGGGAAAGGTCAGGAATGAGTGAGCCAGGGTAAGAGCTGTGCAACAGACTCTAGCTGGTGAGGTGCTGAGGGCAAGCCTGCCCCTTCCACCCATCCAGGCCCACCCTCCGCACCTAGCCCGGTCATATCCTGGCAGAGTAACCAAAACTCTGGGGCCACTGCTTCCTAACATCTTGGAAAACACAGCTGTTAGATGACCACTGGGGGAGCCTCATGGGCACAGAGCTCTACTTAGTTCTCATTGCTTAGTGTCAGAATTATTATTTATTTATTTTTATTTTTTGTTTTTTGCAGTGCTGGGATCACGTCCAAGGCCTTGTGCCTGCTGAGCATGCGTCCTCCCAGTGAGCCACACCCCCGGCATTTCTCTTAGTGTTATTTTATTTGTTTATGTATTTTGGTGGTATTGGGCTTAATCTCAGGGCCTCACACTTGCCAGGCAGGCACTCTACCACTTGAGCCACTCCACCAGCCCTTTTTTTGTGTTGGGTATTTTTGAGGTAGGGTCTCTCGAACTATTTGCCCAGGCTGGCTTTGAACTGTGATCCCCCTGATCTCTGCCTCCTGAGTAGCTAGGATTACAGGCATGGGTCACCAGCACCCAGCCTTAGTGTTATTTTAAATTAGTTTTTGCTAATGACTGCTTTGAAACAGCTAAAAACAGAAGTTAGGTGCTGGTATCAGCCTAGTTTCTGCCTCAGAGCACAAGACCCTCCTTGGGATAGGGCTTTATGATGAAGGGGGATGAACACAGCGATTTGTCTCTGGGTGATGACATTTTAGTCCCTCTAGAAATGTGTGATGGATCATCACTTTGCCCAGATCACAAAATTAATGGGCACCACACACCGGGCTGTGGTGTCTGAAGGAACTGTGTGAACCAGCACTGACAAGAGAAGTGTCCATGAGGATTTTGGATATAAAGGATGCAGCTGGAGGTAAGGACACTGCTGTTATGCAGGCACAAGTAATGAAAGTGAAGTGGGGCACTGAGACATACAAAACCACCAAAGAGGATGATTAGAACAGGCATTTGCTCACCAAATTCCCAAATGTGAGGGCTAGCTTGAAGCATAAAAGGTGACTCCACCTACCAGACCTTGCTGTGCGGGCACAGACAGAATGGAGCACAGTCCCTGCTCATGTGGTACTCATGACCGGGCAGTGACAACGTGGCAGGGTTTATGCCCAAGGCAATTCAGCAAAAGGCAATGGGAGATTGAGGCCCTCACTAGGTGCACACATTTCCTCAGAATTGTCTATTAGTGAGAGTAAGGACCATATATTCTAGTTGTTAAGCTTCTTCTTTTTTTTTTTGGCCCCCGTACTAGGGGTTGAACTCAGGACCTCCTGCTTGGTAGGCAGGCACTCTATTACTTGAGCCATTCCACCAGCCCTAGTTGTAAACTTCTTGAGTGTGAGAATCAACTAAAATTAGGTCTTTTCTGTCAAAGGAGTTAATGTGTAAATGCTAGCTACCCTCCCCGATTTGCTGCATTCATTCTTTGTGAAACATTGCTTGACCCTACAAGGTCAAACAAAGAGCTATTTACCACTAGATGCCCTAATCTCAAACTGCTTAATGAGTAAAATGTCAGCCCCCTTCCCCTCTCTGCAGGGGACCTTGAGAAAACACTTTTTCACTGAGCTGTAAAAATGTCACTGCATTGGAAAACCTTGCCCTTACCCCAAACAATAGCTAGCCAATCTGGAAGATTGTGAATCCAAACCCATCCATCAGGGTGAGGGGCAGAGAGATGAAAACTGAGTTGATTCCCTGCTCAGTGTGTTCTGCCTATCAGACCATGGTCTGTGTTTGCACCCTTCTGCAAAGTGAAACTTTTCTTTTTGCCTTGCTGAGTGTTTCTTTGATCACCACTTGGGAACGGCACTTCTAACATTGAGACATATCAAACCCAACACAGAACCTTAATTTGAGTATCAGAAAAGACAATAAAAGGAGGAGAATAAAGCCATAGGAAAAAACAGTCTAATAGCAGGAGAATGGATTAGCTAAATCATCAAGCTAATGCATCAAATGCATTAAATATTATTTTAAAGATTATAGCAATGCTATAAAAACTTCAAATGTGTCAACTAAAAGAGAATTAGAATACAAAGATCATATCTGACATTTGATCTGTGATTATAACTATATATAAATTATGTATACAAATAGGAACCAGAACTGGAAGAAAATCACAGAAATGAAAATATTTCTTTTATAGATGGTATATAGGTAAAATTTATACTCCATGAACTACTATGGTGTTATTTGATTTAAAAAATTTTAGCTGGCACTAGGAGGATCACTTCATTGCATGAATTTGAGACCGGCCTGGGCAACACAGGGAGACCCTGTCTCAAAAACAAAACAAAAGTGTAGAGGCTAAATAAAGTCAAGAGACTCCTGACCCAGGGCTTTCAACCATGGGCAGTACCACTGAGCTGTACACCAAGGCCAGATTCATATATATATGTATAAATTTTTTTTTTTGCTCCTGTTGTTTTTATTTTGAGACAGTGTCTCACTATATAGTCTTGAACTCGTGATCCTCCTGCCTCAGCCTCTCAAATGTTAGGGTTATAGGTGCGTGCTACCATACCTGGTTCCCAAACTCATTTTTATTATCTGTCTGTCTGTCTATTTATCTATCTACCTTTCTTTCTTTCTTTTTGGTGGTACTGGAGTCTGAACTCAGGTTTTCACACTTGATAGGATGGCACTCTACCTCTTGAGCCTCCAGCCCTTTCGCTCTGGTTATTTTTGAGACAGAGTCTCACTTTTTTGTCTGGACTATGATTCTCTTATTTTACATCTCCTGCAGTCGCTAGGATGACATATGCATGCTAGCATGCCCAGCTATTGGTTGAGATGAGGTCTTGCAAACTTTTTGTCTAAACTGGACTCGAACCGTGATTCTCTTGATCTCAGATTCCCAAGTAGCTAGGATTACAGGCATGAACCACCACACGTAGCTTCTGAATTCATTTTTAAAAGGCAAAATATGGGCTGGGGGCATGGCTTAAGTGGTAGAGCACCTGCATAGCAAGTGTGAGGCCATAAGCTCAAACTCCAGCACCATCAAAGATAAAAGGAAGAAAAAACTGAGGTGCATTTCTGTAATCCTAGCTACTCTGGAAGCTGAGCTCAAAAGGATCATGATTCAAGGCCAGCCCCAGCAAAAAGTTTGAGAGACTCTCATCTCAACCAATGTCTGGGCAAGGTTTTGCACAGCTGTCATCCCAGGTATAGCAGAAAGCACAAATAAGAAGATCATGGTCCAGTGTGGCCTGGGCATAATGTGAGTCTCCATGCAGAAAGTCCTCAGAATGCGGCTCAAGTGGCAGAGCACCTGCCCAGCAAACACAAAGCCCAGAGTTCAAACCCCAGCACCGCAAAAAGAAAGAACAGAAAGAAACAAAATAAATAAATAAAAGTAAAAAAATTAAATAAAAGGCAGAATATGAGACAAATCTAAAATACATGCAGTGGGCAGGAAATCACTGGGAGGAAGGAAAAGGACTTCAATGTAGTGCTCCAATCTATTGGCTGGGGCTGGGGGCGGCTGTGTGTAACTGGTGTTTTCCTCCTAACCGTGACCTGCAATGGCAAGAACCTTCAATAACATGTTGAGGTTTAATTGGTTTTTTTGGTGGTGCTGGGATTTGAACTCAGGACCTCATGCTTGCTAGGCAGGCACTCTACTACGTGACCAGAATTTGAAATTTACAATGGGGAAAAAGAATCACTTAACTGAATGTAAAATTTCAGTTTGTTTTTTGATTTTTATTTAATTTTCTGGTGCTGGGGACTGAAGTTAGGCCCTTGCACTTGCCAGGCAAATGCTCTTTCACTAAGCTAAATCCCCAATCCCTAAAATTCCACTTTGGAGAGTAGTTCTCAGAGCATTCATACACTGCTCTCAAGTCTGAGATTTTCTCTCTCTAGACTTAATGTTCCACCTTCTGGACTCAGCCAGGGTCAGTTCATACAGACTTCCTCAAGGCTCCTTGGTCCCTAACTATGACAGTGGCTCTCCCTCATTTGCATGCTGATGTTTCTTACCAGGGTCTACGAGCGCCAGCCGCTTGTCTCGGGACAGGGAAGCTCTTTCCTCCTGGTTGAACATTCGGTCAATCATGACCATCTCAGCAGAGGGATTGATCCGCTGGAAATGAGAGAAGCCAGTCATTTCAGATCCTTTTAATAAGTGCAAACAACTCAGTGTGTCTTTGAAATAAATGAAGTAATCACAAATGAGACTTTGGTGTGTAGATTCTGGTCATGTCCCCTCTAGTCACATTTATCCTAGTCACATGGGATACGTTTTTTTAAAATGTATTTTTTAAAAAGAAATTTACATATTGGTCAAAATTCAAAAGGTAGCTCAGGGCATGTGACAAGTGAGCCTTCCTTCTTTGTCGCCCCTGTCCACCCACTGCCACTTTATGCCTCCTCCATTTGCATGGCAGCTTAAAACACTCTTCGAAACTGATTTTAGTAATAAGCGTGTGTCACCACACTTGGATCCTTATTTTTAAAATTCACTTTTTAATTGATAAATACAAAAAAATTGTACACATTAATGGGGACCATGTGATGCCTTCATGCATGTGTTTAACCAGGTTAAACACAGTTATCTCAACTCAAGCATTTATTTCTTCTTTGAAAACATTCAAAATCCTTTCTTCCATCTTTTTGAGATATACAGTACACGACTGCTATCTACAGTCTCCCTACTGTGCAGCACCCGGAAGAACTTCTCTCATAGCTAAGTGCAGCTTAGGGTCCACTGACCAGCCTTCCCCACTTCTGCCTCCTCTTCTTCTCCCCAGCCTCTGGGAACCACCATTCCACTGTCAACTTCTATGAGATCAACTGTTTTAGATGGCACATGAGTGAGACTACGTGGTACTTTTCTTTCTGTGCCTGGCTTACTTCACATAACATACCGATCCCTGATTTGTTCAACAAGAAAACAGTGCTGGTTGGGATCCACCAAGTGTCATTGCTGTCATTTGTAGTAGCAGTAAGTTTTTCTACAACCTTAAATATTGGTGCTCTTTAAACTATGTTCTGACAATGCCATTCCTTGAACATCTGACTCAGTAGGTGTGGCTGAGGAGTAGTAAAGCAATGTCCCGGGGAGGACAACTTTACCATGGCGTCTTCTAGGAGCAGGCATCGGTACTTGTTTAGCATAGCTTGGGTCCTTTTTAGGAGCTGAGTGGCAACTGTTTCAAATTCATTGTCCACTTTAAAAAGAGAGAGAGAGAGAACAGTAAGAAAGTTTAAATTTCTGACCAGGTCTTTTATTTCTTAAGACTGAAATGAGTCAGGCGTGGTGGTACACACGTGTAATCCCAGTACTAGGGAGGCTAAGGTAAGAGAATTGTGAATTTGAGGCCAGTGTGGGCTACATATTGAAAACCAAAACCAAACAAAGGGCTGGGAGTGTAGCTCAGCGGTAGAGTACCTGCCTCAGATGCATCAGGCCCAGGGTTTGGTCCCTAGCAACACGCACGCACGCACGCACGCACGCACGCGCGCAGACTAAAATGAACCACTTTTCCGTTATTCTAACATGGCTCATGAGTGGCGACCTTCTCCTTGGTTAAGTTTCAAGCTTCTGTACAGCGTCCCGTCATGGTCTCCTTGCATATGGCCATGGAACCTTACTCTAACACAGCGTATTTCAAGTTTAATTAGGAAACCAACAGCATACTACTTTTGAATATCACCTATAAAATGAATCCATGGAAGAGACCAATGAACAGAGGACGGTCTGCCAGTTAGAGGATCTAAGCCTCTATACCTTTCCAACAGCATGAAAAAGTTCAAACAACTGTCTGGGTTGGGCAGACCAGTTTAATGTAAACTAGTCCAGGATGCCTTTCAGGTCATGGTCTGCAGCTCTTTCCTTTGTCTTTCAGTCTCTGACTTCACATTTTCTTTCTTTCTTTTTCTTGGTGGTACTACAGTTTGAACTCAGAGCTTCATGCTTGCTAGGCAGGTGCTCTATCACTTGAACCACTTCGATAGCCCTTTTTTGTAACGGGTATTTTTCAAGATAGAATCTCATGAACTATTTGGCTGGGTTGGTCTCAAATCTCAATCTTCCTGACCTCTGCCCCTCTGGTTACAGGTGTGAACCACTGGTGGCCAGCAATACATCCCATTTTCTAATTTGCTCTTTTTAGCATCTTCCTATCTCTGTTTAATGCTGGATCTTGTCCCCATCCTGGGTCCTCCCAGGGAGGTCCACAGTGGACTGATGACACCACTATACTCGGAGGTCAAAGATCCTGCCAGGAGAAACAAGACTGGTGGCAGGACAAGAATGGAACTGAGCTGCACAACTGGAAGTGGCAGCAGGGCCAGGCAGCAGAATGGGCAGAGCTCTGAGTTGGGAGAAGGGGCTCTGATGCCTAACCTTTAAGTCAGTTTCTTGAAATTCAGCTAATACCCTGTCCTAGACTCACTTTGGAACTTCAGGGAATGCTTTTGGGGATAAATTAGCCACTTAGTTACTAGGAGTGGTAGAACAGCTGAGGGAAGGATGAAGCTACAAGCTAGCCCATCTGCAGTCAATGCTTTCCACTCACTGCCCCCCAGTGTGTTTTTTATTTGGCAGTACTGGAGTTTGAACTCAGGGCCTTGTGCCTGCTTGGTTGGCGTGCTACTACTTGAGCCGTGCCCCCAGCTCCAATGTGTCAACAAGTTACTATGACATTTGAGGAGCCCCTTCATAGAATATTGAGAACAAGTTATAACCCTAGGCATGGATTGGGAACAAGTTAGGTTTGTGACAAAAAACGAGAACATGTCTACCAGTTCATGAGTGCAATACACTCTCGTCCTGTGGGCGGCCTGGGGGCACTTTGTGAGTGTCCGAGTGCACTGTAGGTGCAGCCTATTTACCTTTCCTCAAGTCTTCCTCCGTGGGCATGGAGCCCTGGCACACGTGGTAGGACAGCAATCTTTGCACCGCATCACTTAGTGATCGGAACTGGCTTTTGTCAGGTGTCACAGCGTGGGCTTGGTCCCTGTGTAACTGCTGGAGGATGCTTTAAAAGAGAAATGCCAGCGTCAGTACAGAATCATTCAAGGAAGTCAGATCTAATCATGATGTTTATTAGCGTGCAAAGAAAATAAGGCAAACAGGAATGTCCTATTCACAGGAGTTTTGTTTGTCTTTCAGTGTTACATTTGCATATTACCACCGTCACCCTGACCTCAAAAGCAGTTTCCACCAACCAATGGTGTATGATGGTGCAAGGGCTGACCACTGGCCAACACTGCTTATGCTAACGTTGCTCTTCTAAACCCAGGAGCTTATCAGCCAGCTTCTTCTGAGAGACTCTGCCTCTAAAGAGACAAAGATTACTCTCCTGAGAGCAAAAGAGCAAACAGTAGGCTCAAGCCATATCTGATATGCTTATAGGTCTTCAGGAAAATAAAGTACATTTCTGAGAGGCTAGTAAGCTCATTACTACAACCTGACTTTGCAGTGTACTTATTGAAGGTTAGGGACCTAGGGCAAGGCTAAAAGTAATTTGCAGTTGCAAAGGTAACTCACAAAGCTCCTTTAGTCAGCTGTTTGGCAGCAGGCCTTTTTTGTCCTCCTGAATGACTGTCCACCTAAACACAAAACATACCTCTCATTACTCCCCTTGGTAGGAAAAAGAAGCAGAATGCAGCCACACATAAAAGTCATTATGTTTCAAATGTTTTTAACTACCTATCAATAGCATATTCTATAGAATGTGCTAAAAAACAAAATAAACAAGCAAGCATGGTAGATCCAGATAGCAAAGGTGTGCTGAGTTAAGATCACAGAAAGCTGTACTATCAGTCTCTTAGAAGGACTTAGTTTGTACTTTTTAAAAAATTTTAGGCACAGGGTCTCACTATGTTGTCTAGATTATTCTCCAGCTCTTGGGTCCAAGTGATCCTCTGGCCTCAGCCTCCTGAGTAGCTGGGACTACAGGTATGTACCACCACACCTGGCTCAGTTTTGTACTTGAAAGTTTGGATCCTTATCTCCCTCTATAAAAGCATCATCTTATTAAAGAACTATGTTTGTGGGTTCTGGCCCAACTCCATGAACACCATTTTCTTAATGTGAGTACGTTTGGAGCTCCTGTGACATACAGCTAAGGCGTGTGGTCTGACGGGCATTTCTTCTATCATTTAAGGAACCAAGTGTGCCTTAAGTCAGAACCTGAACATACCCTTCACCGGGTATGCTGGGCAGGCTCATACTGTAGCAAGTTTCATTTAGCTGTTAATTGGGAAGTTTCTTCTAAGTAAAAATACAAAAACATCTACTTCCTTTTTTAGACTAGTGGTTTATATCTCAAGTATCTTGAGATATAAAAGCCAAAGTTGGGTCAAAAGACTATTGGGACTGCTTACTTCTTACACTCCTGACTTACTACGGAGAAGGAAAAATCTCCCGCATCACCAAAGATCGATCCACTTTTCATATGATGATGAGTGTGTGAGTATGTGTCTTTTTTCTTTTCTGCAGTGCTGGCGATCAAATCCAGGGCCTCACACATGCTAGGCAAGTGCTCTACCACAGAGCTACACCAACCCCTGCTGGTTTAAATTAATCCAGAATGTGTCAGAATAGACTAGACACATTCATCGTAGAAACAGAAACACGATCAGGCCTGGCCCACCAGGAAGGTCTTTGGTGACGACACAGTTGTAGGCGCACAGGGCCTGCTGGCTGTGCACATGACGCTGTACAGAAGTGACAAGCAGCTGGCATGACCACATGCTCATGTAAGTATGTTAATCATGAAAGGGCTATGCAGACAGTTTTCTACCTGCACAGCTGGCTGGCCAGGGGATGATCCAATTGCTTTCTCCTGTTGCGGCTGGGCAGCTCCTAAGGACACTGGCATAACTTTACTTCCAGAATCCTGCCCTGTTAGAATGAATACAGAAGGCTACGTTCAACACAAACATTGACGCAAGTCACTGCACCCCTGTGCCCAGTGTAGATGGCTGAGCTAATCTTCTGGAAGGGGTTTCTTAAGGGGGTGCCTGCTGTGAGGAAGGCAGCAGGAGAATGCATTCATCTATAAGCGCTAGAGGCAGAGGTGAGGGTCTGACAGGTATTAAATATAGAGAACTCACTCGATAAATGGTTAATAGAAGCTGTAAGTGCTACAGTTTCAAATTATCTAGTCTTCTTATAGTCTGTCGCCACATCAGAACTCCAAAACACTACTTAAGAGGTGCAAAGGAGGCACTGACTAGGAATGCTCAAACTTCCCTCTTTTTTTAGTATTAACTCAGTAGTGTGGGTGTTTATAGCCTTAAAAATTGGATATGACCCATGGTGTTTCAGTTTCATGAAGAAGGACTCTAAATACACTTATATAAATCAACACGAGGATAATTAGAAAGTCATGGACACCACGGAATACCAGATTTCACTGTTTCTAAGCAGTGCATTTTTTTTTTTACATAATTTAGTGTGTTTCATAATGCAATTAAAGTGCTTTTTTTTCCTTCTTTAGTGATATACAACCCATGGCATTTTGGAGGTGATGCAACATGGTATAGTATTTAGGTGGGAAGGATACAGATAAAAGGAATGGTCAGAGAGGAGGTGAGATCCAGTCAGAAAGATTTCATGAAGAATGAAAGAGGCAAGAAGAGTGTACACTGGTTTGGGGGAACAGGGACACAATGCAGCAAGCTTCTACAAAGGCTCCTGACCTGGCAGTGCTGTGCTCAGGAGCCCGGGGATCTGTGCTTGCCTCAGGCAATCTGCGCTCTTGGAAGTGGATACGGGGGAGGTCTGATTCAAACATTTTTTCTGAGCCTGTGGAACACATAACCAAGAGGGAAAAATTAATTTCATTATTAAAAACTTTAATAGATTGCTTAAAAATGCCAACCAGGCCTCTTAATGCCTAGCTGGCATCACTTTCAGGTTGGATTACAAAACAAAATAAAACTTTAAAAACATTATTCTTTTATCACAGTGGGAGAATTTTGCAAAATACACCCTCTACAATCTGAATTTCCTCAGCGCCATTCGGTAGAGATGCCGAGTTGACACCAGATGTATTCTTGCGCCTGGGACTACTGGATGTGGTGCTGTTGCTGGAATTCAGTTTCTGTCCCCAGCAAATTTATGTTGCACCTGCTAGCATTATGATTCTGACCTGCAGTTCCTATGTGGGGTCTGTCAGAGCCTTGGGCCCATCCCAAATTAATTGCCAATACACATTGCCTTGCTGTGTAGAAGGTGTAAAGGATATTTCATCATTGCCTTCTGGGGTGTCCCTAGTTTGTGTCATTTCAACTCCAGGTGAGAAGTAATCATATTAGCCTGAGCAAAACATAAAAAGAAAAAAGTAATCCAATGTTTAAACTGCTGTGTGGCTTCTTTACGATAAACAAGGAAGACGAACTAGATGATACTTAAGAACAAGTTTCTCTTAGCTCTTGAAAAAAACAAATCTGTTCTCACTACAATGCATTCTTTTTTGTGTGGCACAAGGATCAAACCCAGGGGGTAAGGGAGGGGGCAGGGGGAAGGGGGGGAGAAATGACCCAAACATTGTATGCACATATGAATAAAATAAAAATAAAAATAAAAAAGGATCAAACCCAGGTCTTCACACATGCTTGGCAGGTACTCTGTCACCAATCTGTATCTCTATACCCAGCCCTCTTGTTTTTTTTGGTTGTACTGGGGTTTGAACTCAGGGACTCATGCTTGCTAGGTCGTGCTCTACCACTTGAGCCACTCCACCAGCCCTTTTTTTGTGTTGGGTATTTTTGAGATAGGGTCTCTCAAACATTTTTCCCAGGCTGGCCTTGAACTGTGATTTTCCTGATCTCTGCCTCCCAAGCAACAAAGCTTACAGGCGCCCTGAACATAATGCATTTTGTGTTGCTGTTTTTAATTCTGTTATCTAATCTTCTGTTTTGCTTTGTTCCCATTCTCTAATCTTCTGCTTTAGTTTTTAAGCAGATTTTTGAGGTTTAATAAAACCCACCTACTTTGAGTGTACAGTTTGACAAATTTTGATAAATGTACAAATATATTCACACACATATATAAAACTATCACCAAAATGAAAGTAGGAAGTTTTTCTTCATTATGTGAGAAGCTACCTCATATCATTCAGTTAATCTTCAGCGCTTACCATGACTTTGGGCAAACTCTGATTGATTTTCTGCCACTACAGATTAGTTACATATGCTTTTTTAAGTACAATAAGGGCTTTTAACTTATACTCAATCTTTACTCCTCTCTGCCATTACCACTTCACAGTGCAGTAAACTTTCAGTCTGTTCTTCAGTCCCCATTACATATTTTACCAGTGCACTTAGAACGCAGCTAACCATCCCCACAGGGGACTTAAACTACGACGGTGGCAGAAGCAACAAAGCAAAACGTTCTCACTCTGCATTCAGGTGTGAGTGCTCGCATGGACCTTGGCAATGCCTGATCACTGGCAAGCTAACTCATGTAACATTTCTATTCTGAACAATTAGGTATCTATTTAGTTCTCTCTTTTTTGGCGGTACTGGGGTTTGAACTCAGGGCTTTGCACTGGCTCTAGTTATCTTTTTAATATAAAGATGGAAGGGAATCTGACATTCCCAAGCAACACTGGGGGAAGTCAATATAGAGTTGGGAATGGTCACTTTTTTCATGCTTTCGCTAGCAGGGAAAGGCAAACCTACACTGTCCTAGGTAGACAGGCAACACGTTCTTAGGAAGAAAATGACCAGGGGAAAGGTCAATGTAAAAATCTCCCAGTTGTTACAGCACTTCTCACCTGGAAGGGATGCCCACACCCTCTCCTACAGGGAAGCTGTGGGGCCCAGGGCAAGCAGTGACCACAGACCCTCCCCAGCAATATGTCCAGCGGACGGATGCTGAGGGCCATCCAATACCCAGCCAGGTGGAAGCAGGGGGCAAGGCTGCATACCAGGTGGGACTCAGAATGTGAGATCAAGAGCCAAGTAGAAGAATCACATTGATAAGCTCAAATGATCAAAGACCTTATAGCAGTGTTGGCTGTACACAAAAACTTTGGAACTGTTTTTTACTATTGCTGGTTCATATGAACAGAACAAAGTCATCTTTAGGGCTTTAGAGCAGATGTTTTTTTGATAAAAATGGCATTAGCCAGTTTCCTCTCCAATGTTATTTATCAAACAAGACCTAGAAGACTCCTGGCTATCAACCAAACAAATGCAACAAAATGCAGTGAATCTGTAAACAAGGATGAAGACTCTGTAAGAGCCAGGGGAGGGGCTGAGACTGAGAAGCACTGTCATACTCTCTTTCTTAAGCGAAGTGGCATCTCCACAGGTATTTGCTTTATAATTCATTAACGAGGCCTTCGTGTTTTATGCAGTTTTTCTAAGTGTACTATGTCTCATATAAGATTAAAAGTAAACAAAAGGAGAACAATTTCATGCCAAAGCATGGAAATTTGCCATCCTGGTAGGCTACTTTAGACGGAACTGTCATCTGTAAAGCCCAGTGGCTCCTCTGTGAGTTTGCTGTGGGATCCATGTTTTAGAGTCACCTGGGCTGCTTGCATGGGCAATTCACTAATATTGGTGGGTAGGCTAGACTGCATCCTTTCCTTGGGACTAGAATACTCGCTCTGATTGTCACACTGCCAGGCAGAGGATGGGTGGTGTGGGCAGGCCCACGGGGCAGTAATCACCTACTGGGGAACTTGGTCTGGTCCCCACATTGGGATCCTCTGTAGGTTGAGAAGGCTCTGTGGCAGGGGCTACAGCATGTGCAGAAGTGCCCTCTTGGTGTTCTCTCTCTCTCTCTCTCTCTCTCTCTCTCTCTGTGGGACTAGGGTTTGAACTAGCAAAGCAGGTGTTCTGCTGCTCGTTCTGGTTATTTATTTTTTGATCTGGTTATTTAGGAGATCAGGTCGTGTGAACTATTTGCCCCGGCTGGCCTCAAACCTTGATCCTCCTGATCTCAGCCTCCCAAGCAGCTAGGGTTATAGGCGTGAGTCACAGACACTGGCTGGGTCCTCTCATTTTGAGGACAGAACTGTGGTCTATCTGGTTCAATGCCACCCAGCATGGGAACAGGTCGTGGCACCACAGTAAGCACACAGCTAATAGTTGTTAAAGAAAATAAGTGAAAAAAGTAAGTGAATGAATTCCACTGAGGTATGCCATATTGGTTTCTTCCTCTTCCCAGTGCCCCACTCTCCCTCCCATTCCCCCCACTTTTAGGTCACCCCAGTTGATCAGCTTTTCCAGCAACAGAATTAATCATTATCTTGTTTTATGGAACTTTTAGAGAACACCTGCTCTTGAAATACATTTTCTTCACAAATATAAGTGTAAGTTAAGGACACTGATACTCAGTGATAAGCTCATCGTAAAGTAAAAGATTCATTAAGTAGAACCATCGTTATGTGGGGACCATCTGTATTTTGTTGAGAATTTGGCTCCAAGAATTCTACTGTCAATGGACAAATCTAACTCTTTAGGTTCATGAATTATTTTGACATCATATGGATGGAATGAAAAATCTCAAGGAACTCCAGACTTCATGTGTCATTTCCCCGTCAGTAGTACAATTTGCGAGAAGACAATTACATGTTAGCAAGATGATATTCATGCAAGAAGCATTTCATGAATGAAGCAGACCATTTAGGGTCTGCCCAGTCAATTCTCTTCTGATAACTGCTCCACTGCCACAAAAATGGGGTGGAGGCCAGCAAGGATGGAAAATGCATCAAGAACTCCAGGATTCTGGTCCAATGTATGAGGAAGTCTTTATTCTAACAATGAAAAACAGAAAAATCAAGAGTTCTCCTTAGATCCAGGGTCTCAGGGCAAACCAATGCCTGACAATTAGAGCAACAGAGAGGGGATACAGAGACAGAGACGCTGACCCACCAGATTAAAAACCTGAGGGGGTTGTGGGGAGGAAACTGAACTGTAACTGACGAGGCATTATCAGGGAGGCTCACTGCCATCTGCCTGAGAGAGAATTCTGGGGACACCTAGTCCCAAGTGACCTCACACTTCTTTCAGTTTTCCCTCTTACACCTAGTCTCAAGTGACCTTACACTTCTTTTGAGTTTCTGCTCTAGGAATCCTACCAGGTCCCCATGATAAAATTCAGAGAAAAATCTCATGCTTCCTGCACCAGGAGGAATAAGGAACTATTCTGAAACACCAGAGCATTCCGTTCTTAGCAAGGCCTACCCCAGGAGAAACTATTTTACCAGAAGCTAATCTTCTGGGTTACTTCAGAGCTTACCCCGCCTACTTGGGGAAAGAGAAATAACCAACTTCAGCTTTCTCTAGCCTGTTATGGGAAGAAGGGGAACAATGGATTCCAGATCCCAGTATTCACCTGTTGGAAACCTAATCCCCAATGCAACAGTGTTGAGAAGTAGAACCTTGAAGAGGTGATCAGGCCAGGTACCAGTGGCTCACACCTGTAATCCTGGCTCCTCAGGAGGTAGAGATCAAGAAGATCTCAGTTCAAAGCCAGCCTGGGCAAATAGTTTGAGAGACCCTATCTGGAAAAAAAAAAATCCATCACAAAAAAGGGCTGGTGGCATGGCTCAAGGTGTAGGCTCTGAGTTCAAATCCCAGTACCACTGAAATCAGTAAGATTCAATAATCAATAATCTTTCAAAACTAAACGCACCAGGCTCAGAGGGCTTGATAGGTGAATTCTATACATATTTAAGGAAGAAATCCTATCAATTCTTTATAATCTCTCTGGAAGACAGAAGCAGAAGGAAAACCTCCTAACTCATTCTATGAGGCGGGCATCACCCATATGCTCAACCGGATCAA